CAAAACTGGGTTGTTCCATCACTTCCACTTTGTCCATGACCCTACATGGGTATTTTAAAATTTAGCACTCTGCATTACTAATATTACTTCCCTTTCTACTGAATTCTTTTCAAGGTCTCTCAATTGTAGTATCCTTATTATTAATTTCACTCAAAGGTGTTTTCTGCTGCCATGGCAGGATATGACAACACCACGATGAAATTCAAGCATGCTATTTTTCAAGGATCAGAGTCACCTTCAGTGGAAGGATGAACTTTTTGTACAGTAAATAAAGTCGCATATAAAGTGATAAAGGTTAACCTCCATTAAGGTCAGCTGACAAAGGCTTCATTTAGCACAGGGGTACTGTATATAAATACACTGGATCAATGCACCTCATCCCCCAAAATAAAAATGGTGATTGAACAATGCTAACAAGTTTCATTAATGACAAAGTTATAGAATCAATTGAACTAATCCTGTTGACTTTAAGAAACATGACTGGTCATGGATTTGAAATCAACAGGTTATCTACAAACAGGAAGTTTCAAGGAAGTCAGAATTGGTTGTTTAAATACTCGCCAATTGTCCCTTAAGTCAAAAGAAAGAGGCAGTGTGATTGCATTTCTGGTCTCAGGAATGTTATTGAACTCTTTCCTCAGCTAATGGTTAACTCAAAATTTTTTCTGTAGGTTGTCTTTTGTCCAGCTATTGTTTTAGACATACGTTAACCAAGAGATGCTCTCATGTGCTAAACACAGTTCTGGTTTTTGCATCCAACATGGTGGCATGTTTTTCGTAAGTTTAATTAATTTTAAACATAACATATAGATCATTTGCCCCATGTATCCAATAACACTGAACTGACCTCTTTTCAACACAGGCTTGCTCTCTTCAATCTCACGCCACAACCCATCATTGTGAAAATATCTATGTCGGTTAAATAGCATAAACATGAACTTTAACTCTCAGATCAGTAAACAATTGTTTTTCATCAAATTCTGTATATTCTTTTCAAAACTCAGTTTTTCTTCTCTTCTTTCAAGCTTTAATTCAAAATAAAGGATTTTAATTTCTATAAACCAAATAACCCCTACTTGTAAAATCCAAATTACTTAGCTTGACCTTCCAGGCCTTCACATTAAACTTGTAAAATTAAACCTCATTCCAACTGGCTACAGATTGGAGATTTCACTTGCTGGTAAAATCCACACTAAGAATAGTGTCACAACGATGTTCTATTTGTTTGACATATTTCCAATAAATATGCACATGTATCATTGCTAAGTGACAAAAATCAAGCTAGCTAGAAAGATTATCAAAATAGATGATTAAATGAAAGTACATTGTACAACAGAGACATGTGTCAATACTTATCTACATCCTAAGTAATCTTCTGATAAATTCCAATTCCAATAAACCATCTAAATCAATGGCTTAAAAAATATCATTGATTATATCACTTCCAAGAAAATAGGTCACATAAAATGACAACAAATTTATGAAAAATTGTCATTTTCAAACCAACATCAATTTTACTTAATAGACTACAAGCAGTAAACTGGTATGTATGAACTTTGCTGATGTCATTAATCATATATATATATATATATATATATATATATATATATATATATACAGGGTGCGATGGATAAATTGTCGTCTAAATCATGCAAAAATGAAAATAACATTGATGTATCATTTTAAAAGATATATTTACCAAAATTACACAAAAAATATCTTGAAATAATAAAGAGTAAATTTATTTAATAAAATCGCCATTGGCTTCAACCACGTCCTTTCAACTCTTCTTTGGTGCTAGGGTCTCAACATGGAGGCTTCCATCAAGTGCCTTGAGGAGATACTGTTGCCCTGGGTTAAGAGTGTGGCTGCTGGAAGACCACTCTCTTGACCCAGGGCAGCACTATCTCCTCAAGGCACTTGATGTAGGCCACCATGTTGAGTCGGAGGCCCTCACCAAGAAATTCGGGAGTTCTTTTCTTATCAGAACAATCAGAGTTAGCTTACCAAGTTGCCATACCTTCGTAATTACCATAAGACGCATCCAACTCTTTCCAAATTCTCTGCACTGTCCTCAGATTGACACCGAAACATTCTGAAATGTTTGTATCAGAGTTTCCAGCAAAAATGCCAAGAAGTACAGCATGCTGTTTCCAAATTTATGGCATAGTGAAATGCTGCTCTTTTTCTTACAGATGGTGCCAACTGATCCTACTATACTGTGTAGTCGACAAAATCAAAAACAAATAATGTGCAAGATTAAAAATATAAAATGGCGATCTAAAGAATGTATCTAAAGAATTAATGGATTTTTTGAAAGCTAGATGGCACCAAACAGCACTGGCATGTTTCAACAGGGGACTCCCATACTTTTTTTCCTTCATGCCATGTTTAATATAAACTAAACTGAATACTTGGATCCAAGATCCGATATGTTGTTCAGTTTGAAAGCCAATCACAATTTAGCAAAAGGAATTAGAAATCTATCCCACAGCTTTTTACTCATAGCAAAATGAGTGAACTCCATTCTGGCTTTTAATTCATTTTTTTTTCTCCAAGACAGTTTGCCAATCAAAACTATAATGTTCAGTTTATCCTGTTAGTTACCTATAGCTGTACAGCTAAGGGGATAAGGGAGATGTATTTATGCTTTTTCCAAGGTCAAATGCAAAAGAACACAAACCAATGACAAATGTTCAGATGAGTGCTCCATTTTTTAGTTCCACCAGTTCAGACCTTTACAATTAGGGCATGTCATACTACTGCCCCAGAGTTGAATCACCCGCATATCCTCTGTATTCCAAATGTAAAGAGAAAATTCCACTAAGACAGTCACCCTTCCTGGCCTGCTAAGAACTGTTACTTAGTAGAACAAACTGCCATAGAGATGCTTCCCTAAAGCCTACAATCTTTAACTTCTTCAAGTCAATAATCAGTTGTTATCTATACTCCTTATCCTCCTGACACCTCCTCTTTCACACATCTCATTTATCATAACCTTTTTAACAGTGACCCTATACTTCAAGTGGCTGCCAAGCTTTGCATTGAGCAAATTTTTAAATAAAAAATCTCAGCTTTAATTTAAACTCGGCTCACCATGTTGTTAACTGTTAGGCTACCATTACCTCTTTCCAAATTGAATTTGCCATAAAAAAAAAAAGTTTAGGAATCAATCCTAAAAATTATCTGGACTATATCGGGTAATCAAACATTCCTAAACTCTTTGATTCAGTTAAAGAAAAAAAATTGCTTCAATTCATTATCAGTAAAAGAGAAATACACAAACACTCATACTATTAGATTAAAAGCAATATAAGTCAGTTAAACTATCCAGATATTTTTTTTTTTTTTTTTTGCTAGAAGTACAGGAAATAATTTTTTAGGAAGTCCAGTCCAATAATGACCATAATAAATTAAATCTATAGCTGGCATTAATCCATATTAATAAATGGACATTGGACAGCAAAACAATGCCAATGTTATCACTTCCAGTTGTAGCTTAATTAGAATCAAAACAATAGAAAGAATTCTCAAGCATATATAGATTCCTGATTTCTAATTAATTCATGCACTAAACAAATATCTGAAAAATTATCTTTAAGTTAAAGTTACTAAATTTATTATTTATAAACTAATAAATATGGGTTAGTTTATGTTGATATTTATTGTTATTGTAGAATCTAATAATTTGAAATTGATTTTTGATTATTGATTAATATCTTTTCATAAAACTTCATAATACATCAAGATAGTTTCCAGAAGGCTGAATAAATCAAAAAGAAAAATACAAAAATATTTGTTTCATTTTCTTCATTATTAAAAAAAAATCTTAGAAAATTCTTATTAGAAAATGAAGTTAGGAATATTCTACAAAGTATTTGGGGGTGGGGGAGTCATTTTCAAGATAACAGAGTAAAATTCATTCAAAGCCAAAAGATAATTGTCAAGAGAATCAAAATGTTGCCTTGTATTCATTTTTAATTGAATTTCACTCCTAGTGACTTAGACCAATTCTTCAGGGAAGTTTTCTTGCTTAATCAATTCTATATGAATATTTTCCATCAAAACAAAGAATATTCTAGGATTTCTTTTAACATTTTGTGATTTTCTTCTTTTTTTTTTTAAGCAGGCAGTTAATTTGAAATTGTAAAATTGACTATAGCCAATTTTTTTTTTAAAGAAACGTTTTCGTCAATTCAATAAATGAAAACCATAAACATTATTCATGACTTCAATCAATAAAAATAATTCATTCATTAGCAGTTAGTGGGTGGGGGGTATTGATACAAAATCGCCCAGAGACTGACTATTTATTTTTCATTTTTTAGAAATGGCATGGACGGAATTAGCAAGAATAGTTTGGCTGACTATTATTACTTATTAAGTCAGTAGTGAGTTCGATCCTAACTGGATGCCCCATACAAAAAAAAAAAAACATTTTTTTAAAAATGACTCATGAGTCTTGAGTTTTGACATGTAAAAATAAAATCAACCAACCAAAAATCATTTATTGTAAAGATTTAAAGACAATGGAAACACCAACCAAAATAATACAATTTTTTTTTTAAATAATTGTTGAAATGAAGAGTATAAAAAAAAAATCGGATTGTACTCAAAATAGTAAATAATCCGAAGAACAATTCCTGGATGCATTCAAACAATAATAATAGCTCAAAAACAAAAAAGGGGTAGTTACCTTTTTTTATTTATTTATTTTTTTTTATTTTGCAGCAAGTATTTTCATTCAAGTATGTAAAAAAAAAACATACTGACAATTGTAAAAAGAAGAAGAGGTTACTTCGATCATAAATTATTAAAATAAAATCCAATAAAAAAAAAACGCCAGAATTATTTTCGAAATAAAAAAAAACTAAGACTTTTTTTTTTACTTTGACCTTGAAAAAGACTATTGCTGCAAAGTTTTAATTAAAAAACTTATTCACAATATGAAACAAGGTAAAAAAGGTACAAATAATAATTAGTAATTATTTTATACTTACATCTTGAGTACTGTACTTTGTGTAGGGCCGTGGAACTATCTGCACTTTTCGCATTAACATCGGCGCCTTCTTTTAACAAAATGTCCACAATATGGTAACTGCCGATGGAAGCGGCCAGCAGCAAAGGCGTATCGTTATGAGGGGTCATCACATGGATGTTCGCCCCAGCTGACACGAGCAACTCTACGATCCTGTCCAATTTGTGGACGATAGCAATGTGGATGGGGTATTCTCCGTGAAGGTTGGGTACATTCACGTCCACCCTACCAGTGTCCAATACCATCTCCACCATCGCCACGTTCTTCACACTGACGGCGTAATGAAGAAGAGACATGCCGTATTTGTCAGACACTTGAACCTCGGCCCCGTGACGGATGAGCAGCTCCACGACGGGCAAGGAGTCAGACTCAGCGGCCAGGTGCACGGCCTTCCGGTTTTCCGAGTCCCTCACCTCCAAGTCGGCCCCTCGCTCGCACAGAAGCTTTACCACTTCGGTATGTCCGTTTCGACAGGCCTTGTGCAACGGGGTCACCCCGCCCCGACTAACTGACGTTTGCACGTCCAGGTTGGCCCGGCCCTCTTCCAAGAGGATCCGAACCACATCAACATGCCCGGCCCCGGCTGCGATGTGAAGAGCTCGTTCGTCGTTGTGGTTGCGAGACAGGTTCACATGAGAACCCTCGCTTATCAGGAAGCGCACAATGTCAGTGAAGCCACGGGCACAGGCAAGTAGTAGTGGGGTTTTGCCCTCTGAATCAGAACTATTGAGTACGGAGCCAGCGCGAGTTAGAAATTTGACCATCTCCAGGGATCCATTTGAGACAGCGTGGTGGAGGGCCTTCTTACCAGTCTCGTCGGTGTAATAAAGGCTGGGAGGGGGCCGTGCCCTGAGTAGGATCAACTCCACCACAGCCGTGGAGCCATTACGAGCGGCCAGGCAAAGGGCTTTGTTCAATTCCAAGTAGCGACTGCAATGATTTTCGCGACAATAATCCAAGATCTTTCGAATTCTTTCCAAGTCACACTCATTTATTGCTTCCGTAAATACACTCACTAAGGCTGACATATTGGTCATTGGGCTCATTAAGACAGGCTTTTTTTTTTCAGAATGTTTCTTTAGATAGATTTTTCGATAATAATTTAAAAAGAAGTTCTCTCTCAGTTGAAAAAGACAAAGGTCAATCTATATTTTAAGAATTATTCACACGATTAACTTTACTAAATTCATATCTTCATCGATGCAATTTATATTTTTAAATGTCATCTACCTTGGGAATTCATAATTTCTTTTAAAACAGTTTAAAAATATATACCTAAATGTAATTTATTATTTAACAAACTTGTTTAGAATTAAAAATCAGTTTTAGAAATCGTTACAAAAAGAAAAACCTAACATTTTTAGTACAAATACATTCAAAACAAAGAGCATCTGTTTTTATGCTTAAATTAAAATTCGTTACTAAACAGAAAAACTACTTCAGATGCAGAAAGTAAAAGAAACAAGTTTAGTAATAAATATGTTTGGTCAATTATTTCATTATTATTTACTACTGTTAATAAATGATAATATAGTTGCTCAACAAGAAGAGAAAATATTAGTAATTAGTAGTAGCAGTATCCTTTTAAAAAAGTCTCTTGAAGTCATGTGGACATCTATTTATTTACGAATTGTAGCGTGGGTGCCCGTCTGTTGTTGGTGTATCTTCTCAATGACTCAATCAACAAATCTTGTGGACAAAGAAAGACATAATCTTCGTTTTTTTATTTTCTTTAAACAATATAGTGTTGAAAAAATATATTTACGCTCTTTTGTCGGATAAATTCACTTCACTCTTGGTCTCAGGTTTTTAAAAACAAACAGTTTGGTATTCCAGAAAAGAAAGAAAAAAGGGAAGAGAATGGGAGTTTAATAATAATATTATTATTAATTTCGTTTACCATTTGGTTTAGGATTTCATTTCAAAATAATCACTGAATTAAAGCAAGAAAATGGGGAGCCGAATGATTGTTGATGGCATTGTTTACTTAAGTTAACTGTTTTAAGTTATTTCTTCCTAAAATAAATTTGATCGAAACGGAAATGAACAAAAGAATTGATTTAAAAAGGCAAGACAGTTGTTTACTAACTTAGCATAAAACAACAAATAAAGAATAATTTAACAAAATAAAATAAGTTCATTTGAAGAAAAAAATGATATTTCTTAAAAAAAATAAAACGAAAATTCAGAACTACCAACGAACATTATTATTATTATTATTATTATTAATTAATTCTTTCGGAACAAAAAAGTTATATGGCTTATAAAATTAACTTATAATTGAAATTGCCTGTTTGTTTACATAATAATCAGATTAATTTGTTAATTATTTAAATTAGGAAATTTAAAATTAAAGTCAAAATAAATTACGCACTTTTTTGTTTGTTTTTTTTTAACTGTTAAAATTTAACTCGAAAAACAAGATTGAAAACATTGGAAAATGAATCATTTTCTCTTACGACAATTGTATAATTTAAAAAAAAACAAGTGATTAAAAGATAAAAAGAAAACAATTATTAACTAACTAAAGTTCTCAATTTTTGATTTAATTAAAGTTAATTAAACAATGTCGAATTTTAAAAAAAAAAACACAACACAAAAAATGGAAACTTAAATTTTGAATTTAAACTTAAAAAAAGGCTTGATGAAATTTAACTGACATTTTTTCGGTCCTTTCTTCTGATATATATATAAATCCAGGATACTTTTTTTTTATCTATCCATCTCAGTTGGTAATTGTTGATTTTTTTTTTTTTTTTTTTTTGTGGTTGATGGCTGGAAATTTACTTTTCTTGTTGTCCTGGGACAAATAACACGATTAAAAATTTTTTTTTTTTTAATTTTTATAATTTCTGGTTTCCTCGTTACTTATTTGAAACCAGGAATATACTACTGAATTTTTTTTTTTTTTCAGCTAAATTGGTCCGAAGTTATGTGAAGAGAGAGAGAGAGTGGATAAAAAGATCACATTTGTCGCTAACGAAAGAGTCATACGTGCAGGGATCTCTTCAATTTGGTTCTCACCCTGTTTCTTCTACCATGATCTGTTTACATGTGTCGGAAAAAAAGAACAACGCCAACCACTATTCGCTCCGTCAGCGTTCGATTTCTGACCATTCGCTTAAACCGTTAAACCAATCCACATTCTAATACAATTTACAGCTTATTCGTGAAAACATCTCATTTAATTTCTGCATTGTTGTTCTTTTTTTAGAAGTTTTGCATACATGAATGTTTTAAAAATGTTTAAATATCTCTTAGTAATGTGTCAATCTGGATATTTATCTGTAGCTAATTTTTATAATTCTGTTAATCTTTCTGTTCGAAAATTATAGAAGAATAATAGAATATCAGGACATGAAAGAATAATGTTTTCAATCTATTAAGAAATGTTTGAGTCATTCATATACGTGTGTGTGTTTCATTAAAAATGACTTTAGGAACTGCTGCCAAAATATACACTATGTGTGTGTCTGTAATATATATATATATATATATATATATATATATATATATATATATGTATGTAAGTGTGTGTGTGTGTGTGTGTGTGTGCGCGCACACACATAATAAATTAAATTAATTTAGGCTTTACTTATGTATTATTGAGCACTGTTTTTTAAAAATACAAACAAAAATACTAAAGAACTTCGGATTATTAACCTAACGTGTTCTTTTCTATTTTTCTATATATTTACACACACACACACAGATATACATATATTAAGAATAAAATAAGAAACATGATGGAATCATATTTTTAAAAAAAAATAAAAATGTATATAATATATATATATATATATATATATATATATATATATATATATATATATATATATATACCACACATATGTATGTATGTATGTACGCCTCAATTCAATAAGAATGCCATCTGACATTAAAATTATCAACATTTTTGGATTTTTTTTTTTTAATAATAGGCATAATTTATGGAACTTTCTAAGATGATAAAACTGAAAATATATGATAATAAAATCCTAGTTTAAAATTTAGAACTTTATTATTGATAGGATTTTAAAAACTTTTACGTGACGTGTTCCTTCAGGACATTGTTAATCATGGCTCTCCACAATTACCTGTCCTTTGTAACTCCTAATAAATTTTGTCTTTTTGCTATTTATCCTAACTTTGTTTGGCCATTCATTTACTCAGGATCACTAGGTAGGTTATACATTGTTTTTCTCTATCCCTCTTGCCATCAATCTCACCTGTGAGTATCAAATTTTCCAAGTTTTCTTTCCTCATTATGCTTCCAAAAAATTTCAATTTGCTCTTCCAGATCTTAAATCTAGAACATTTTTGTTACTAACATGTTCAGTCCGTGGTATTCTCAGCATTCTTCTGTAGAACCACATTTCTGTTGCTTCAAGTCTCTTCTTCATTTGTAAGGAAATTGTCCAGCATTCGCTACCATATAGGAGGACTGATATTACATAACAGTTCAGTACTCTTATAAAAAAGCAAGCATATTCTCTCTCTTACTCTTTTTAATGCTTGTTTCTACTAAGTAATATGATTCTCCATTCACCTGAATAACAGAAACTACATGACATGGTGTAGACTCTACAAAGTTTGGGAGTAGTTGGATGGGTATACCTGTTTTTTTTTTTTACCCCAAGCAAGACAATAAAGCCACTAAGACACAAGATATTACAAAGTATGAGAAAAAATACCATTAAAGAGAGAGAATAATAAAAAAACATGAATTAAGAAGATAGAATGTAACAATTGACATTGCATTTAAATTTTTGATGCTTAAAGGCCTATTATTTATTGAGGATGGCTGCAGGGAATTTAATGACTTCTACAACATGTCACATATTTTCTTCATGGAGTTTAAATCTGGCAAATGCAATATCCAATAGAGTTCCTTTTATAATAATAAAATTCACTCAATACAAGGCTTGAGAAGCACTCAAGGTAGAGAGTTACTGTTAAAAGAGTTATGATGACTGTGGTGTCTGATATGAATGAAAGAGGAGGTGTTAGGAAGTGAAGATTATGAGGATAAAGAGAATAGATAAAGATTTGTTGCAGGTCAGTGTACACGTTGAGAGATTAACAAATGTGTCTCCTGAAATGCCCACAACAAACATGGTGGACTTGGAATATGAGTCCACCTAAAAAAAAATGTAAAGAAACAACAAGAATCGATATATATGTACAAACAAATGATAATATATTAATAACAAAAAGGGTTACAAGTGACAAAGATAATAATGAGTGTGTAACAAATGAATGTGTAAAGTTTGTGGTCCAAAGTATGTGTACTGTAGTGTGTGAATGTGCATACGTACATGTGTGTGTATGTATATATGTAATATCCATGTGTGTCCCAAAAGAGGGATCACGTTCTTCCACTAGAAATTTACATTGTTCTCATATAAATGGAAAAGTAAGAAGAAGGCGAAAAAAAATATCACCAAGTTATGTATAATGTTGGAGCACATCCCCTAGTAACAGTTTTTAAAATTAGGAGGAAATAACCTGACAGATTGACCATTAACTTGAAGAGGTTAAGATCGTAATGTTCAGAGCTTTGATTGATTGATTTCTTTTTCACAGTTTATCAACCCATTTTGGGTCATTTAAAGCAGAAACATATTTCAGATTGTAGAAGGTTGCTTAGAGTTTCCAAGTGGTCCCCATCTAAGTACTGACCAGAATCAACACTGCTTAACTTTACTGATCAAGCAAGAACCAGTGTTTCAGTCTGATTTAACTGTTGGCTGTAGTTTTCCAGAAAACACCCATGCAGAAGTCTGTTTCACAAAATGGCATTCTTTGGGAAAAAATTGTCTTAGTAGAACTTTCTTATTACCTTTGGAATATGGGGGAAATGAAAATGATTTGATTCTGTGAAAGCAAAGCATGTTCTAGCTGTAAAAGTCTGAACTGGTGACACTAAAGAATGGAACTCCTCTGAATATTTGCCATGGAAATAGCAATAGAGTAGTAACAGGCTTCTAGTGTTGTACAGTTGAATTAGTTAACTCATTGACTGAATCAACCCATCTGTTGATTGTTTTTCTTGAGGGATGTGCAGATATAAATTTAAAAGTTGTGAATTTTGTGTTTGTTTTACTTAATTCATTATTTTCTACTGCCCACACTAGTTAAAAAAAACAAAATAGAATGTTTTAATTCTTCTGTCCTGACAGGGAGACAGGAACAGAAAACAACCCACCAATCCCAGACCCAGAAATAGACCCCAGTTAAGACAACAGGAAAGAAGTCAGTCTTTTTAAGGTGGTGGGCCAGAGAAAATGTCTGTTCTTTGAAAATTAACTGTTCATTCAAAATTGTTAATTCAATTTATCACAAATTTTCTAGATTTATCCAAGGTAATAGACTTCTTCCATACTGTACTTCTAACATCTCCATTTAAACTCTGAAATTCTATTTACTATCTATTCATTTATTTATTTTTAATTTTCCTATTTTTTGTTTCCTCAATAGGAGTAGATTCATCTCTTGTTCCCTGTTTAGGATTGGGTTTCCAGTTCTTTCTAAAATCAACTTCAACTTTATACTTCTAACATCTTTGCCTAAAACTCTAAACTTTATTTGCTATTTATTCACATTTTTTCCTTGATAGAAGTAGATGGGTTTGCCTATAATCTGATTCACACTCCTCCCTGGTTTCTTCAACAGGAGTAAAGTTTTATCCCTTGTTGGTTTGAGTTTCCAGTTACCTCTAAAAACTTTTCCTTCTCTTTCATTTCTGGTAGCCCCTTGCATCTTGGTGGCATTATCATCTTGCTTGGGGTGGTACCTTTTAATCCGTAACCCTCTACCTTGAGTGGTTCTTGGGCTTTGTATAGGGTGAACATCTTTGTAAAAAAAAAAATACATGGCAAAGAAATCGCAGAATGGAGATGAAGCCTTCCCTCACGAGATCGCATAAACAATTTTGAACTTTATCAAGGCTGGAAAGTGAGCAACTCTAGAATAGATATGGTAGCAATACTCTATTTTTGGTCTAATCTTTTTTTTAAAAGAAAACTAAGACACAAGGGATTACTGGGTGTGAAAAAATTAGAAAACAGAAACATTATTAAGGAGCAAGCACAATATAAGTGCAATCAAGAAGACAGTAGATAGCAATTTACATTGCATTTAAATTTTTGAAGATCAAAGTTAGTTGGAAAGCAAGAAGCTGGAAGAGATTTCCACAGTTAAGAAGTGCAAAAAAAGAAACTGTTAACATAGAACTTACATTTAGATCGAGCCAATTCAACTGTAAATTGCCGAGACCTTGTTGCCAATCTAGTACTGCACTTAAATTCATAAAGTCTAGGTACCATAGTGAAGAGCTCATCCAAACAATTACCATGAAAGTATTTATAGAAAAGGTACAGTTAAGTAACTTTACAGCAGAGAGAAAGTGAATGAAGCTGATACATCAGGTCAGGATCAATAATATTGCTGATTCTTCTTTGGATTTTATCAAAGAGCTCAAGGTAAAAAGCAGGAGCACCGGACCATATGTGGCAGCAATATTCAAAGCATGGATGACTGGCAGACTTATAGATATGTAAGATAGATTCTGGAAAGAAGAATTGTCTAACACAACACAGTGAACCAACTTTCTTAACAGCAGACCTAGCAATGGATTCAATATAGTCTTTCAGATGATTAATAGACAGCAGTTTTGTTTTGGAGGCATTAAAATAAACAAGCCATTCTTTGCCCCAGTTAACAACAGACTGTAGGGGTTTTTTTAGATAAGATGCCAACTTGACCTTATCAAACTGATCAGACTTACTGTTGAGACAGGAGTAAATGGTTGTGTCATCAGCATAAATAACAAGTTGAGAGCTGATGCTATCAGGAAAGTCATTAATGAAAATTAAGGACAAAGTAGGACTAAGGATAGAGCCCTGGGGAACACTTGTATTAGTACAAAAGGATCTAGAAGAGTGGCCATTCAGGATAACATTCATCTTGCAATTAGATAAGATCTAAAGACACCAAAACTTTTCAACTTGTGAAGATGACCGGTATGCCAAAGCTTGTCAAATGCTTTCGAGATATCCAAAGCAACAACCTGAGCTTCACCATTCTTATCTAAAGCTTGATAAACTCTTTACACA